AGATTGAAGAAATCTTTTTTGAAAGCTGTAGTAGCTTTAGCTCTTAATTCAGTATTCATCTAGATATAGGAAGCCATCCAAGAATCTTGCTCAAACTTCAAAGCTCTATGAATTTAAGTAACCCGCATTCCATATTCGTTGAGGCTATCATGCAGTTCCTCAGGGTATTCAATATCAGCCTCTACTACAAAGCTATCTGGAGCGTCAACAAGTGTTTTGAGCACTTCTCAAATCCACCCACTGGAAACCCTGACCCAGAAGAGGCTGGAACATGTTTTGATAAAGCATCGAGAGATAAACTCATATACAGTAAGTTATCAATAAATTGCAGCCAGCTCAAACCAAATGTTATATATTTTTCCATAGTGTTAGGGATACAGCAGATCTTACCTTTTTTAGTTTTACCAAGAGCTTCGATTATCAAGTGAGAGCCGCAACCTCTCAAGTTATGTAAGACCACGGGGATCTTAGTTACACCACGACTGATGTGAAGCTTAAGATTGCATTGATTTTATTACAAATATAATAAACTATCGTTTCATTGTAAAAGATCTGATCTTCTTTGCTCATAACCATTTTTTCCGGATTACTAAACACTGTGTTAATTCTTCCCAAACCAATTTTTATGCTTGAGAGGAAGTGCTCTACTGCATCAGCACCGCTATATAAAAGTGATTCTTAAATTTGACCATTGTTTCGGGCTGTTAAGAAATAGTAGCTTCATTGTGTTTTTTTTTGCTGGATCATTAGGAGCACCTTTCAATGGAATATTCAAACATTCAAATCAGCATAAATAACGTATGGCACTTTTATTTGGTTGTGATAATTTTTAAATTTACAAATATCATTTTTCCATTTTTCAGTCGTCAACGTACATTGAGCTTTATCTTCAATCCCTAAACAATCCCTGCGATAAGTTTTCAATAATTCAGCAGTACTAAATACTTGAAGGCAACGACGACAAGAGTGTTTTGCTGCTTTATGTTTGCTGTTATAATAAACCATACCAGCCAAATTTTTAGTCCACACATAGTGAGATTTTTAACCCTTCTTGAATAAGTAAAAGATCAATATTTTTTTCCATCTTTTCATCGCTGATGTAAAAGGGATGCAATCCTTGTATCCCATGCAAAAAGTTGGCTGAATATTCTAAATTTCTACACTTAAATTTAGCAATATCACTTATTTTAACAAGCTGCGCTTTTATCAGCTTAGGTTTTATAATTATTGGTTTAGGTTTTATCCTAATTGGTCGCTTAACTATTTGAAAATTTTTTTTTTTTAACAGATGGTTTGCTTTTAACTGGTAGCTCCAGTGGCTTCTGTTGAAATAGTCTAGCTAATGCAGCAACTTCTTCTCTCCATTGTTCTAAAGTAATCACTCTATCACGTAAAAGCTCAGATAGCTTGTTTAATGCCAGCTCTTTAAAGTCAGTCATTTTCATAATATATGTTATGGTAATCATTCTCTAATTGATTGCTTATGTAAAACTGTGCTTTTTTCTTGCTCTATAATCTCTCACATAAACTGCTCTTACTTTGTTTACTTTTTCACTATTTGCTATATTAAAAATATTCTCTGAAACATCTAATTGTTGAATCTCTTCCTACACAAGCAAGTTTGTCTACAAGTACAAATGTTTGTGTAATAATCAAGAACTTTATTTGTTATTAACATAACAAATTCTGGTGATAGTTTTTCACGTTTTAGCTGATGTATATTAATTCGAGTTTTATCGTTAATTTTTTCTGCAAATTTAAAACTCAATCAAATAATCCAGTTTTACTGTATCTATTTCTTATTCTAAGAGGAACATATTCAAAAGTTTTTATGTAACGTCTCCGAAAATTAGTAATTCGATAACCATGTAAATATTCTACAAACCTGTCAAAATCTTTTCTATACAAGTCTATAAATATATATATATATATATATATATATATATATATATATATATATATATATATATATATATATATATATATATATATATATATATATATATATATATATATATATATATATATATATATATATATAGTTTTTAGTTAAAATATTTTTTCTCTAACTAAAAACTTTGTCTTAGTTTTTACACAAGGTCTGAGAATAAATACTTTTTACCGTCTGCTATTTTTTCTACAATAACTACCTTTGCATAGAGTGGAAATGAAATTTCCATAGAGCTTATACAAACACTACCGAAATTCACGATTGCACAAATCTTACACCCCATCATAATTTTTTTTATTTTGATTTGAAATTTTCTCTCCGTTCACTTTTGCTAATTTATATCTTGTTTTAACTTGCACTAAATAAAGTTCTTTTTTATCATAAAATTTTGACTTATGCATGCTTTGTAAAATCCATGTTTTTAACCATGTTAAAAATTTTAGGATTAGAAACAGCTATTACTTCTTTTTATAGAAGGTTTTGATTTGATGGAAAACATTTTACTATTTTTTCTGCCATTTGTCTGGCAATAAGTTTTTCCCACCCACCTTCTTAGGATAAGCAATATCTTTATTATTACTTTTTATTTATTATTAGTATTTTTTATTTATTATTACTTTATTTATTATTACTTTTTAATATATATCTTTATTTATTAGTACTTTTTCTGAGCCATTTTATATACTCCTCTCCACACTTAAAGCGTTGCTTTGTTTCACTAATAAATGCATCATTCAAAAGAGAAATAGCTGAATAAATACTCATTATATCATTATTACTTTTTTAAATTAAAATCATTGGTCTCTTTTTTCAACATCATTTTTACAAATAACATGTTCTATATGAGTCTCACCATACATGAAATCAAATCTCTTGAAACTCCCATAGGGTCTGTATATGTAACACTAACCCAAATAATGTCATTATTACCTTTTTAGCATAATTTCATTTAAGTTTAAGCTAAAGCCCACAAGTTCTCTGTATTATTATTTTTTTAGTTCAGATAAATGGCTAACAATGTCTTGCGTTAAAAATCAATTTTATATATCTTTTATTTATAACCCCTATATATTATATATATTTACAACCCCTATACATATATTTTAATTTATAACCTCTCCATGGAATGGCCACTTGATAGTTCTAAAACATGAAGGGGTAAAGTTTTCTGAAAAGGTAGCGGGGTGTCGCAGAAATGAAATTGTCCAGCAGCAGGCCTTTAGCGGACAACCACTTGAGGGTTTTTTCAGGGTGCCAAAAGCTTTGTGGAAGGGTGTCAAAAAATTTTCCAAGAGTGGGTGCTAAAAAGTTTTTTGAGAGCTGGCTTGCGCTAAGGGTTCCAAAAATTTTGCCGAGAAGGGGGTGCAAGAAGGTGTTGAAGAAGTGCAAAAATTAATATAATTAATATAATTTTTTTTTTACTGCAGCGTATGGAGTTTGCATTACTTATTTATTAAATAAAAACTAAAATCAAAAGTTTAAAACAATACCAAACGTACGTACGTAAGGTACGTTTTTTATTAAATTAACTAACTGTAATAAACAAGCCATAAAATTTGGCTATAGGTTATAAAGAATAGCTAAGTTTGAACTTAAGTTAATCTTATATTAAGTTAATCTTAACCAATAATGTAACTTAACTTTTAATAAATAAAACTACGAAAGCCACTTACACATTAGTTTAAATATCTATGGTAATATATACTTAAAAAGTTTTATTAAAAGTAAAAGGATAAACTTTGATACGGCTGCATCTTATTTGCAGTTTTCTAACTAAACAGTTATCAAAACTGACAGAAATAGAAACAAAAATTTTTATATTTATTTTTATTTACTGCAGCAATGAGCATATGCTCACTGAATAGTAAACCATTTTTGCTACAAGTTTCACTACTTTAGTTACATAAAAAAAATCAAGTATTTTGTAAAGTTCATTATTAACTTATCTTGTTTGATATCAAACAACATATTGTTACATATTGGGATGACACTTAAAATTTTATTGGCTTTAAATACAAAAACGGATAAAGGATTCAAAGTATTTTTTATTAAACACCAGGATCGTTTTCAAATTTTAGAATACTCAATTGATAATCAATAAGATTTTTTAATATTTTTGTTAAATTTTTTCGCTTAAGTAACATGCGTAGTTTTACATTTTCTATATTTAACAGCATACTCAATCCGTTGCACCAATTAGTTATAAAATTTATTGTCATCCTATAGGTTACCACTGTTATCACGGACTATTTTGAAAACAGTGCAACCATCAGCTTGGAGCTTGCATATAGTCTGGAAATTTATTATTATTGATTAAAAACATTAATGGTTCAGAAATGAACCTTACCGTGCAACACCTGAAACATTAAGCCATGCAGAACTTATGTCTCCAAAAACAACTCCTTGCCTTCTATAAAATAAAAAAGACTTAATCCGTCTGAGAGCTAAATCTTATAAAGATTCCATATAAAAACTATCGATTTAAGAACCATCTAAGAATTGACTCTTACCATTTATTTTAATTTTGAATACAAGTTTTTTATAATGAACTCTGTAAATCGCTTTAGAAAAATCAGGAAAGATGCTATCAATAGACAATTCTTGATCCACTGCATGAGTTATGTCTTGGCTTTTAAGTAAATTCATAATTCAAAATTTATCTTGTAAAACATCATGCTGATTCTTTTTTATCAAAACATTTTTGAAAAGATTCCATTTTGATAACCCTTTACACTATACAGCTTTACACTTAATGAAAGAAATAGGAACGAACAAAATGGAAAAATAATATACTTTGTATTCGAAATAAATACTATAAAGACATTAATTAAATATTAAATGTTTTACACAATAATGCATAAAATTTGGTACAAGATGCGTTAGGTTTTTTTTCATATTTTCAGTTTTCTCTGGAGAGCTGTATTATGGCGAACAATATTATTACAAATTGCATTTTTTTAAGCATTTTTTAAAGTTGTTGAAATATTTTTCAAAAGATAAAAAAAAAATCAAACGTTAAAATTAAATAATGAAAAAGTAAAACAATTGGTTTAAATGCAATTTTTTATTTTTTATATTAGAATATAAAAAAAGGAAGTAGAATATAAATTTTACAAATCCTAATATAAACTAAAATATTAGTTTTAAACGTTCCATTTAAATCTTTTAACCCACGTATTGTTAGTCAAGCTTTTAAAGTATAATCCATCTTTTTTTCCTAAAAAACATTTTCACTGCTTTATTAAAAAAATAATCAGCATTCAACAAAATAATTTATAAAATAAATTTTTACCCATCCACTGCTTGGTTCCAAAAGATACACTATATTCTATATCTTCCTCAAATGATTTTACATTTGACCAATCAAGATTATTTAAGACATTGGTTACAAAATCATCTTTTGTTACAGCCGTCCATTTTTTATATATATTATGAAACATTAAATATGACTTTTGGTTTCTGTGTATGGCATAAAATTCTCTATTCAAATGTATGATGTCCAAGAACTGCTCCGATGCGCAAGTCCATTTCTTAAATTTACACACATACTTACAAATAAAAATAACAAAGGTATTTATCAAAATGTTTTAAGAAAATTAACTCAATCAAATTAAAAAAACCGCGGATCAGCGTTTGACCAAGAAGTTCACGCATTATTTCTTAGCAATAATCCATATATGGCCTGAGCAGGCTTTTAACCACAGAACTCCTGTTCTGAAGCCAGAACTCTAACTACTAAACCAAGGCTGAATTAGATATATAACTTAATTATATAAATTTAAAAAAATGAATAGTAAAAATAAACCAAATATAAACACAAACCTTGCCAACGCAAGCCATCATCTTTTGAGAAGAAGCAAGCAGGTTCATGAAAACTGCAATAAAAAATACATAAACATTAATCTATAACTTCAAAAATGTAAATGGATTTATCTTTCTACGTTCAATTTAATGTAATTATTCCCAAACAGTTTTTTAAGTAGTAAATACTTACATGCTATATTATCTAAAAAGAGCAAAAATTGTTTATTAGAGAAGAGTTAATATGATTTTAGAGAGACTTAGTTTCCTTTTTAAAAAAGAGTAAATATCTTTTTAAGAACTTTTTTTTTCTTATTGAAGGAGAACTAACATCTTTTTAAAAAAAAATTGATAACTTTTTAAAGGTATTAAAAATGTTTTTAAATAGAACTTTAAATATAAACATTAAAATGTGATCATCACACATTTTTATTTTGTAGTTTAATCAAGGAGGTATAATAGCTTAGCTGGAGGAAGAAAGAAGCCGAATATGGATTTTAATCGCGTTTTAATACAGTCTTTGTAATATAATTATTCCAGAGGCAACTCAAAATTTTAAAATGTAATCAGTAAGCTTCGAGAGCTGTAATCGAAATGGATTAACAAAATAAAAGTTTGTTGGACCTGTTTTTATCTACTATTTGATCAATTAAGAAGTTAAGTCACCTTAATCGTGATTTTGTTAAACAAAAATCACGATTAAGATGAAATAATTGTTTCTTGCGTACCTCAATTATAGGTGTAAATATCAAAGTTTTGGACAATATCTAATTCCTATTTTAACCTTATGTTTTGCTTGTCTGTTCATCTATAGGTTAGTTACGTTTTTTAAGACTGTTCTTTCGGCCAGGAACATATTAAATCCCTCCAGGATTTTATTTTGTGGTGGAGTATTTTTGCTGGATTTATAAGTAAATTGCTTTATTCTAAATATAAAATACATGGCAAAAATAATAAGAGATATAAAATACATGGCAAAAATAATATCAATTCTTATCTAGACATATATTAATTCAATTCTAATCTAGAAATTTATTATTAGTTGTTCAAAAAGCACAACAAAAAAATAACAAGTAACTGACTTTAAATATTGTTTACGAATTTTTTAAACTTTCATTTTTTTATTTGCAACGCTTATGACGATATGTATATATAATAGGCATAATTTATGTATGTATATATATATATATATATATATATATATATATATATATATATATATATATATATATATATATATATATATATATATATATATATATATATATATATATATATATATATATATATATATGAAGAAGAATTAAAAAAGCAGACAGTAAATGAAAAACAAAGTAAACAATAAACGTATTATAGAAAAGATTTTAGATACTATTGGCTTCGGTAAGTCAAGAACTTCCAAATTACATCAATTTAATCGTAACCTTAGTCTTAATCATCCAGGTTCCATCTTAGTTGAATAACAAGATAAGAATGACAGTCTAACAATAATTCAATCAGCAATAAAACTAAGAAACACAGAAAACTATAGAAATATTTATGTCAATTTAGATTCAACATTGAAACAACAAGAATTGCAAAAACAAATATTTGAAAAAATAAATCGACTCAACAAAGATCTAGAAAATAAGAAAATAAATGACAATCATTATGGGATTTGAAATGACAGCATCATGAAAATATTTTTTAAGCAATATTAAAAATTTAAAAATGAAAATTGAGAATAAATCAAAAACACTTTATTCAAAAACACTTTATTCAAAAACACTTATTTCAAATGTCACAGTAAATAGTCCACCGAAACGAAAAACAATCAAGCAAGGATATAAAAATTTAAATGGTTTAAAAGTTGGTAGACCTAGTTATACATTGAATGATACACCAAAAGACAGATCAAATAAGTATTGGTTGGTACTGATATGCCAGTGGCCTTTTCAGACAGAATACAAGCTGATAAGTTAGGGAGTACGTCTAGTGATTCGGTTTGGGAGGCATCAGTTAAATTATCAAAGCGTACATCAATATTTTCAATGAATGGCCTAACTAATCATTATGTAACAAAGAAATAGAGTAGATATGGTGTAGTTTGGCCATTAATTGGATGTGTTTACAGACCGCCAAATAGTCTATAATGCGTAAATACTAAAATCAATTCAGTGCTTAGAACATTTAATAATCTAGTAAAAAAAATACACTGGATTAATTATAATAGGTGATTTTAATTATCCAAAATAAACCATGGTTTTAGTTTAATAATTTGGTATGAATTATTTAAGGATTTAAACGCAGACCCTACAATCCAATGTTTTACCCGGTAAAACAATCTGGTCGATAAAAAGATGTAACGTTTAAAATACAATTAGCATTAAATTCCTAGCATTAAACTCCAGCACCTTAATAAGAGCTGGAGTTGCGGAACAACGATTTCAATATTTAGAAAAAACTGTTATTGCGACAAATACAATAAAGCAAGATGATTTTAAACTCTTTAACAAAGTTTGTACATAAATATAAAAATTAAATATTAACTTTTTTAACTTTGACTGATGTTAACTTTAACATATAAAGTAACTTTAACTAACATATAAAGTAACGTTTATAATACTGATTTTTAATTGAAATACTTTAGTTAGAACTATGTGGGTTGATATATAAATTAGTATAAAAACTCGTACCTTATAACATATTGGTTATTACATAGATATATTTGAGAGTTAAATTCGTCCCAGTATAAACCTCGGGCGTAGTATTCTAAAAAAAGACAATTTTATTTTGATAAGTATTGATTTTTCACTAAAAAATAATTTTATAGGTTTAAAAAGTTAGAGCGTAACCATCTTTTTAGCCGCCATTAAATTTCTGAATAACACTTGCGGTAAATAAAATTTCAATGAGACAAGTCTGTTAAAATAAAAAAAGGGGAGTATGCGTCACCACGAAACATAGGACACCATGAAATATTGTAATTTTAGCGGTATCTTAAGAGTTGTGACACCCATTTTCAAATGATAAAAAAGATACTACTTGAGTTATGTTTCGAAAAAAAAAGTTATCATTTGACATTATTAGGCCTGGGGTTGAAATTTCTTTTTTAATGATACTTCCCAGCTAATACACATACGTTGATAAAACATTAAAACAATGTTGTGCGTTGCGTTGACCCAACATCGACCGCCAACGTTGTTTTTATATCATTTTGGTTACAAATGCGACGTCGTCATCAACCAAAAAATAACATGGGTTCAATGTTGTATTTTAAGACGGCATTATGTAATGTTTTATGCAACTTTATGTTTACCTTTTATCGGAATTGAATTTATTTGTTTTAAGCTCAGCATATACATATAAACCTAAGGCGTTATAAATTTGTACGCATATATACTTGTATATATGCATTTATACATGCATATTTCCGCCATTTTGATAATGAACCATGATTGCTTATGACATATGCTTGTACTTACTATAATGTATTTGATTAAACAGGTATTTTTTATGTTTGCTTTGCTTGTGGCTTGATATTATATCAAAAAAGAGAAAAATATATTAGCAAAATGTATTTCCATAATTGACTGAAATATTTGCATAAAAAATAATTTTCCTAAAATATGCAAATGTATAACTGTATATCTGCCTTTTCTCAAATGCAAACGCAACGTTGATCCACTGTATAAAGTCCAACGTTGTTCCAATGTATATGGATCAACGTTGATTTAATGTATATACATTAAATCAACGTTGGTTTATAGACATTGAATCAACGACGGGTTATATACATTGGATCAACGTTAGATTTTCATTGTAAAAACAATCACCTTTTTGCGATGTTTTTACATACATTAATTCAACGTTGGTTTATACAAACTAAATCAACGTTGGGTTGATAACATGGACCAACGTTGGGATTTCATCGTAAAAACAATCAACTTTTTGCGATGTTTTTGCATCCGTTTTATCATTAAACAAATGACATTGGATCAACGTTGGTTTTGCATTGGAAAAAACAGCCAACGTTCGCGATGGTTTAACATACGTTGGCCCAACGTAAGTGTACTAGCTGGGTTATAATGTAAATTAATGTACCCCATGGGTGGGGCACCTTAATCCGCATAATGTGTCTTAATATAAATTTCAAGGCTCATAATGGGGAGTACCTTTATACACACTATAAAGCTCGAAACAAATTTCTAATTTGCTTTGAATTGTTTTGCAAATTTAACGTGTTATATTTTGGTTATTTATAAATTTAAATTTATAGGTATAAATTTATTTTACAAATAAAACCAATCGCCTAAAAAAAACACGTACTAAAAAAAATATTACAAAGCAAAAGGGTGTCATGGTGCCACACTTTTCCTAAACTTTTAACATTAGTGATAATCTCAAAAATATTTTAGTTTAGTTTTTTTAATAAACTTTAAGTTGAGTTAACTTTGTATATTTCATTAGTTTTTATGCAAAAAAATTATACCAAATATATATTAAATGTAATTTAAAAACGTTTTTATTTAAAACGTTTTATTCAAATACTAAAAATTTATATATTTTAACAAATTTTTTCAAATAAGTTTTATGTTATTTAATGTTTAATAATACTTTGTATGTAGATTTATGTGGTATGACATATAAAAATAACTATATCTCTATCGTATAAAATATGGTAGAAACATAGCGATAAAGATGGGTACTATAATCACGAATAGTCTATGATCACAAATATGGTAAACTTTAAAAATAAATTAATCTCTTAAACAAATAGTTAGTTAGGCGCAACTAACATTTGCCGACAGTGCAAGGACAAAGATAAAGTTTCCAACTATTTTAATGCCTCAAAACAAGTTATGAATGGGATCTTTAATACATAATTGTCTGTCCAAATATAAATATATATAAATACCAATTGTCTGTGCAATATAAATGAAATCCGGTTTGCAATTGCAGCATGCGGTAAAAAAGAATTTGATACGTTAAGCTCAAAAAATACACTAAGATAAACAAGTGAAAAATTTAAAAAAACACTGTTATTGCAAATATTAGTGGCTTAATAAGTCATTTACCTTACATATTATTATAAATAGTAATAAAGACGTAATTAAAGTATTTTTGAATTTGTTGCAGGTTGTAAAACAAGTACTAGGGTTGTGTTTGGACTTCACAAGGTAATGCTTTACATTGATTTTCTGATATTTTTTGGCAAATATATAACCTTATCAAACAAGGATTTTCATTTTAGGTGGTTATGGATATAATTAAATCAATAAGTTAGTTAAACCATCAACCAAGAACAATACCATTATATCTGAATATCGAATACATTATACTTCAACTGTTTAATATATGTATAGTAAATTTGTACCACAAAGCAACACTAAAATGTATTTTGCCAACACATATTGGATTTACATCCAGGAGTTTTTGGACTAAGATTTTTTTTTGTTACACATCATAATTGCTGTGCAAGATCATCAGAATTTGATGCTGGTGATATTTTTCCATTTAGTTCCAACAAAACCAAGTCTTTTCTGCTTTATAAACTTTATGAATCATCATAATTAATTCCAACAAAACAATGTCTTTTCTGCTTGATAACCTTTATGAATCATCACAATTAATTAAAGCTCAATAGAGAAAAAAAAAATTTAACTATAATATGGTACATATTAATAATTTGTTTTTGAAAACATCTGAAAAACTGCTAAAAAAATGGTTAAAACCAAACAAAACAAATATACTGCGGTAAATAATACTAAAAAAATATTTTGAGTTGAATTCATATACGTAGAGGCATAATTTTTGAATAGATTTTGTGATGAGATGAACATGTTTATGACGTCTTTCAAAGCTTATACATGTATTAGTTGTATCATTGTCAAAACATTTTCATTGATGCTCTGGAATCTGTTTTAGCTAAACATCAATACCAAAAATTGGCATTTTTATTTGATAAAATATTTGACACTTTTAGTGATAGAATATTTTATGAAAAGAATATTTATAAAAGATATTTTATGAAAAGAATATTTATAAAAAACTTAAAAAAAAAAAAACTTATAATACACTTATACTCAAATAATAAGAGAGCACCTAACCATGTCTTAAAATCGCCTTTAAATGGAAGCTCTAATGGTACACTGCTATATCTCCACACCTATGGATCTGCCTCTAAAGATTGTAATTGTTGTTACTTGAGGACTGTGACAGTTATATAATGCTGAGTCCAAAAAAAACATGTTACAAAAAGTTTCATGCAACCAACGTGTTTCCTATAATAACAAAAAAATTTTTTCATTGCAAAGAATTAAATGATAAAGAGTAAATTTAAAATACAAAAAAATAGGTGTAAAAAAATAGGTGTAAAAAAATAGGTGTAAATCACTTTGAGAAAAAAATGGTAAAAGAAACAGAGTAGATTGCTGAAAGCTCAAATAACTGAGAAACGACTATTAAAAAATAACTTTTTTATATCTGACTTGACATATGTTTTAAATAAAAATAAGAACCAGAATGGAGAAGCTTAACCATATATGAACAAAAAGAAATTAAAAATGATGCAAAATTTGTAAATATCTTTTTAATTTTGTTGCTATAGCATAAAGTAATCTTTTCTTGCCTTAATTTAAAAAAATTAATAAATCTTTAATATTGAATTAATTGTAAAGTATCATTTGTATGTGTATTTTTATCATTAAGCTGATAAGTTTTTGCGATTTTTTTATAACTGTTTTATCACTTTATAATAATGCTGAACCTAATAGTGCCCCTTTGTGTCGCCGAATGGTTAGCACGCCGAGATTCTGAAGCCAAGCGTCGAGGTTTGAATCTTACCGTGCGAACTTTTTCTTTTTTTTAGATTTTTTTAAAATTTTTCGAAATTAAAAAATAAAACACTTTTGAAGTTTACATATCATATGTTAAAATATTATACACTATAACAAACGAAAGAAAGAGAATTTTTTAAAAAGACTTTCTAAAAATTTCTAAAAACTACGTGAAGCAGTTTGTTGCGCAATGTCATGATAGAAATACTTATGTTACTTTAGTTTTACAATTCTTCTACAACTAAGTCGTGTTCGTGCAAAGAAAACGGATATATAACGTGTATTTATTTATATTGTATATAAAATCTATAGAAATATAGGGTTTTTTTGTTTGGCATTTTAAATAACAAAAATTAAAAAAAAAGCAAGGTGATGGTTTCAAATTTTCACGCATTAACCTTAACCTTTTTTGAAACAGTAAGGGAGTTTTAAAGAGTATATTTTTATTAAAAAATTAACTAAAAATCCTTATTTTATATTTAAAATGAATGATTTTATTACATTTATATTATTCAAAAGTAATAAAAAGTTAAAATTACTAAATAAGGAAATAAGGAAATTCAGAGTTGTGCAGCCATTTTACGTCGTCCCTGTTATACATTCTAAACCGAGTGCGTAACAATGACAGACTTTAGAAATGCATCAAAATAGTATTATATTTCGCATAATATTGGAAGAGTCGACTCGGCAGCTATTAAATGATAATACACAAGGCATCCCAGCTCGCACACATACGTTGTTAAAACATTAGAACAATATCGCGCGTTTCGTTGGCCCAACATCGGCTGCCAACGTTGTTTTTATATCATTATGGTTAAAAATGCGAAGTCGCCAACAACTAAAAACAAATGTTGATAAAACGTTTTTTTAAAGTCGGAAAATGGTTATATTTTCTACGTTGATACAACGTTTTACTTTATACGTTGGCAAAACGTTGTATTTTACGTTGTTTCAACGTTGTATTTTAAGTTGCTACAACGTTGTATTTACGTTGATTCAACGTTGAACTTTAGTTAGTAAAACGTTGCATTCATTATTATTCGGAATAAAATTTTCATTAAATTCTATTTTATATATATATATAACATATTTATATTATATATAATATATTTATATAATATATACACATATAGTATATCTATATGTGTATATATGGTTTATATACATTGAATCAACGTCGAAATATATGCATTGGATTAACGTTGGGTTTAGATCGTAAAAATAATAAACCTTTTGCCATGTATTTACATACATTGGATCAACATTGATTTATATACATTGAATCTACGTCGAAATAAATACATTAGATCAACGTTGGGTTTAAATCGTAAAAATATCAACTTTTTGTGATGTTTTTACATACATTGAAAAAACGTTGATTTATATACATTGAATCAATATCGAAGTATATACATTTGATCAACATTGAGTTTAGATCGGAAAAACAATCAACTTTTTGCGATGCTTTTACATACATTGGACCAATGTAAATTTGCCAGATGTTTTTAGTTCCGTCGGTAATAATTTTATCATAAACTAAATGATATTGGATCAAGGTTGGTTTTGCATTGGAAAAAAGAGCTGACGTTCGCGATGGTTTTATATACATTGGCCCAACGTATGTGTGCTAGCTGGGATTCTAGATATGCACAAGTTCATGTTCTGTTTTAAAAAATGTTTTCAACGTTTTAGATGTTAGGTTATAAATGTTTTGTCATATTAGACAATCGACAAGTGAATTCCTGCTATTAGAATCAAAAAATAAGCAGGATCAAGGAGATGCCAGATAACACATCATCAAACCCCAACATTTCCACTATCCATAGCGCAGGTAAATTTAATATTTTATATTTAACTACTTGTTTCAATTTTTTAAATAACATTCCAACAAAAAATTGCAAATAAAAACAATTATGGTAAATTTGCTCAACGATTTTTGTGAGAGGGCGGTTGTGCCTCACAATGGGTCAAAACCGTTTTTTCACTTAGTGTACTTTTTGTGTAATAATATTTTCAAAAACCTTTTTTTTTTCCTAGTTACAGCAATTTAAAGCTTAATGATGTGGTTACTGAAATAAACTCTTAAAAGACATATTTCGCTTTTATTTTTATATAACATCAATCCAAACGTTACGGGGTCGGTTATGCCCCTCCTCCCCTAATCAATATTAAGCAAATAGTTTTAAATGCAGTATAATTATACGGCCAATTATTTCTTTGCTTTGATATTGATTTCTTATTTTAGGATAATCTATATGAATATAACCTTTGTCTTTATTTAGTTTCACGATTTCTACCCAGTTTTTAAAAATTATTGTGGGGTATAAATTAACGTGATTGTTTTTGATAGTTATCATTTCTATGACAGCATTAACGAACTTTTTTTTCAGAAAGAATGGTTACTGATTTTACGAAGACAAAAGTGATTATGATGTAAGTAAATGTATTAAATATAATAAGCAAAGAATAAAGCTCCCAAAATATGGTTGCCAACGCCTAACCAACAGATTGAAAAGAAAATGTTTAACAGGTTTAACAGGTTTATTGGGATCTTCTTTATTAAATAACGCAATGCAATTGTCATTAGGAACAAGTGCTATATTCAAAGTAGAGAAAATTAGATGACCTGTTTTTTCAAATAATAAATATAATGTTTCTGTTGTGTCTTCTGCATCATTTAATATTTCTCTAACTCATAAAGCTTTGTTATAAATCTTTGAATATCAAACTGAAGTTAATACAATATTGCTGCAAAGTGTGATAGCAAGAAAATATGATAAAATTAATTTTTGATAAGTTACATTTTTCTCTTAATGACTTTAAAAAACTGAATACACTAAAGAACTCCAAAAAAACGCGTTTTTTAGAACTCATTAAGTAAATTATTTTAAAGCATTAATTATCTTATTACTATTATTTTGTTTGAAGGAATCTTTCAGATATTTTATTTGCAATACTTACATCTTAAACCTATAGTTTAAAAAGCTAACATTGTGACACTACTAAAATTTTTAAAAAACGAGGGTTTTTTAAAAAATGAAGACCGGTTTGACAAGGGGATACAATAAAAATATTCCTCGATTGTAAAACTGTTTAAAAGAGCTAATTCTTTAATCATTTTACTATTAATAATTTTCTTAAAATTTTTATAATATCATTTTATGTAGAAAATGAAAAATTAGAAAACAGTCTTCTCAATGACTGTGAAACAATAAAGAACTGACTAAAAAATTTGTTTTTATATTTTTTATTACAAAATAAGTATGCGTAATGTTACATAATCAATTTATTGAATACAAATAAATTTGTAAAAGAGTCTAATGTCTTTATTTCAGTTTTTAAATTATCATTTGATGAGTTTTGTTATCCTGATATTTTGCATTTTTTGATATTTAGTTTAAGATGTTGTTTAAATCTTTTTTTATAGGTTATTTCTGTAGCTAGAAAAGTGGAAACGGAGAGCGAGCGTCGTCTAAAGTATATATTAACAACGGTGGTAACACGGTGGTCCAATTAAGGCATGTTTGCAGAGATTCTGACGGTCCACATATTTTGAAACCCTATACAGCCTCATAATAGGCATAGATATGCGCAATCTGATCGGCTGACTTTAAACATAGTCACAAGAATAGATAGTCTGGAAACACGGGCCGTAACAACTGATTTTGAACTTTTATGTCAAAATTGTACTTTCGGCCCGCTGAAAGTGCAAAACAAACTTTAAAGTGAATCATGGAAAGTGGAGAGTTGCAAGTTCTTTTGAGTTTGATAGAAACAGATCAGTTTGAAAGCGATTCATTTTATCAAGAAATCGAAATAGCAGCTTTAGAAGAATGTAAAGAGACTTTAAATTGTAGTGATTGCTCGAAGGCATTCAAAACAACTAGTGGTCTGAAAAGGCATATAAACTCTAAGCACAAAGAACTTGTGCCTACTGACAACCTTGTCGAGGTTGTCGGTAGTGAATCAGTTGATTTAAATAAAAATATACAATTATGTATTCAAAGTACACAATTCAAAGATCTATTGAATAACGCAAGACATAAACTGTCAACAGATGATTGTTTTTGTAATGAAGATCGAGAATGTTTTAAAAACATGGTTGTCACTGAATCTGAGTATTTACAAGTTAAATCTTTTTTTTTAAAAGAAATGCATGAATTTAAAGGCAACGCCGAAAAATTTTATTGTTCACTCCACCATAAGTATACAACTGAGTCAGTTGCGATAAAAACAATACCAAAGGAACTATATTATTTATTGTTAGCAGAATTAACAACATCATGTCTAAATTTTTTGATTACAAAAGAATCTAAACTTATTGGTGAAGATTCGAATCTAGAAATAAATCTCTCTGAAAAAGACATAAGATGCTTAGAATATATTGCAGGTTATGTATTTCAAAAACTGTACTCTAAGTTGAGAAATAAAAAAATTAACGATGGTGCAATGTCTGGACAATGGCTTGATATTATACTTTCATCAAAAACTCAAGAGGAACAAAAACTTGTAGATAGTAGAGAAAGAGGTGGATTGTGGAAAATGAATACACTAGTAATAAATATTTTTAGTGAATGTGAAAAAAAATTTAGAATACATACTAGCGTAAATTTTAGAAAAATTGACAGTAAAGTATTGGTTTCACAATTATTAAATAACTGTTTTGTCAAGTCCTGCTTTTATTAAATATGTGACCTTCCTGAAACAGAAATAGACAAAGAAGTTGCTAAAACTTTATTATATCATATAGTGATGCTTTTTATTCGTGTTCGTTCACATTCACACACAAAGCAAATAAAAGAAAAATTCAAAAACAAAAAAAAAATAACAAAAGCAGAATCTTTACGATCATCATTAAAAAAAATCAAATAAGATCAAGAAAAATATTTGCGATAGCTGAGATTTACAATCATATTTCCTCTCATCCGTATTTTATCAATCTATGCAGATGTATAGAAAAACCATATTTATAAGAGTATTATAGTTCCAGTTTATAATACTTATCAAACAGCTATTTTCATAGCTACAAATTAAAATAATTACATTATTGGTTAGAACGAATACTTTTATTAATTTATTATTTTAACCAACTTATTTATTTTAATCAAATGTTGTGTTTTTTCTCTTTACAAAATAATGTATGATATTCTTTAAAATTTTAAAAGTATAGGCTTTTATCAGCAATCAGAGTTAAATTATAATAGGTTTAGGTTAAATTTGATTTTTAAATAAACTAACAGTAATTTTGGGGAAGACAAATAATATCTACTGATAAACTAATTAAAAAAATGTTTTATGAAATAAGGTTTTCCAAAAAAAAAGATCATAATTCAATTAAGTTAATTTATTTTTTCTAAGTTTCTTGGGAACCGGTGTATCATCAATTACCCATTCATTAGTATGCTGCCTAACATTTCCACCAAGGGGTTGAATTGTAAATTGAGATTTTATGATATTATCATTGTATCCAGTGTCTTTAAGGTTAGGATTATCCGTACTGCAACCTATAGTTCTCTGCTTACCAAAGTAGTTCTCCAATGCGTCTTGACAAAATATTTCAGTTAATACGTATAAAAATCCTTTGCTTAGTAAGTATTGAACGCATTCAACTAAGGAGTTTACCGTTCTAGATAGACCTTCAAATGTCTGATTTGATATGAACATTTTATTAAGTTCTTTTTTAGAAAATTTTTCTGGCCTTTTTTCTATGCTTTCCCTCCAGTCTACAAAATATTTTAGAAAAGTGTTTTTTAACCAGTAAAACCTTTCATCTGAACAATCGGTATAAGGTTTCAAAAATACTTTACGATTTTTGAGGTACTCTTTAGTGTTTGTGACATTGCAGCAATCAAAAAATTTATCCATTAACAGACAGAAATTTGCTGTCTCAGAAGCTTCATCTGGCCCAAATTCAAGCAATGTATTGCCAACTGTAGCACCTAAAATTTGAACTGCTAATTTTACGTTCATAATAGAGTATGCATTTAATACTATATGGTCTCGAGTAAGTTTAGGAAAGTAATTTAAATTACATTCCATATCTTCATAGTAAAACTTAGTAATATGACTCCAGAGAAGATATTTTCAATTATTCCACATATATCTTGAACAACGGTTAGATCCAGAGTTGCTCAAACAGTTTCTTGATGTTTTGATAAGATGAGGAGGATCAGAAAAAAACCATATATATCGTTCATCATCTGCATAAATATTTTTTGTGCGATATGTTATACCATTTGCTTTGTTGTCATTGTTCATATGCATTTTATAAAATGCATGATTTGGTGAAGCTCCATCGCAAGTCACAGCTATAACTTTTAATTTACATGTTCTTTCTAATATTGCAACAGCACGCCAAAATATTGGAAAAATCTGGAATGACATAATACTATCAGTAGCAAAACTTGCAAAAGCATAAGATAAGGGATTCATTGCACTTCTAATAAAAAAAACTAAAATATGTGAAGCTAAAGTATCAGTTTTTTCAAAAGTTGCCTGAGTAAGATCATCATCACCAAGATCAACAAAACCAATTAAATCACCTGTGTGCTTATCCCACACAAGGTCATTTTGAATTTTCATTTCATCAAAAGAAAGTATAATGTATTGTTCAAGTGCTGAAAAGTTTGAAACTAATTTAGCAAGCTCCTGAACATATTGACTATTAAAACCCTTTTGTGGTTTGATGTAGTTTCTATAGTCTCTTAAAGTGCGTTGAGAAGGCAAAACAAGTATACCTTTTCCACCTTTTTGTAAACGCAGAAGATCATATGCAGCTGGAGATTTTGCATACAAAGCTAAAGAGTGTTTTATTACCATTGGATGGTATCGTGTTTGAGATGGATGTTCTGTTAAATATTTTAACTGTTCTGAAAGGAATAATTTCATGAAAGACGAAACTCCTCTATTTAAATTTACCTTTTCTGAGAAACTATTGATAATTTTTTGAAGATCTTGATGGATGTTTTCTCCAACTGATACTGCATTTTTTTCAATGGCTTGCCTGAGTTCCAAAATTTGCTTTTTTAAATATCTATTTTCAGATCTTTGATTTTGGAGAGTAAGAAGTAATCTTTTAGGCGCAGTATATTTAACAGGAGCTTTAATACTAGCTGGAGTTTTTAAGATTTTCTTTTTTGCATTAATGGCTTTGCTACTATTTATAGTTAATATTTTACATTCTTTACAAATACTTGACTCAATTTGTAGAATACGGCATGTAGAAGATCTGAAATACACTGTTTCATTTGTAGGACCATCATCACATTTTTCATCTTCGATTGAAAATAGTTTGCTAACGACATGTCTCTTTACAAGCAAAAAATTTTCTATTTCATTGGATGATATTCCATTGCACAGATAGAAATCACGAATGTGATTGAGAAATTGTGATATCATGGTGTATCGCACAGATCGTAAATGACTCTTATAAATTTGATGGGTGTCTGGTAAAAGCCAACCATAAGCTCGAATAGTATAAGCTAGACTCTCATCCACATGTAGCTCAATTTCTGGTATGAAATGTTTCCCATCAATAACTTTAAATAACACATAGTTTTGTGAAGTTTCAACAGTCCATGTAGTAAATGCTGCTACTTTAATTTTTTTAAGAAACTGTTCAAAATCATTATAAATTAATTTTTTATCTACTTTTTTACTACCGTGTAATGCTAAAGCCATAGCTCGTTTGTCAAGTGCTGTTTTTTTACGATGCACAGTGAGATCTTCAGATAAAGTTTTTTTTGGTAAGTTTTTTGATGGAAGTGCAAATTCTTTTAATTCTTTTTTGTGTTGATCTGAAAAATAATTAAAAAGAATTTGTTAAATAGTATTTGCTTTACTGTCTGTAATTCAACCTATCATAAAATTATAATAAAAGTAATGTATACGCGTACTCAATAAATATCAACACTTATTAAGCACACTTACAGGTGTATATATCTGAATATTCAAAATGCTTTTCACATATATAAACACTATTCTTTTTGATTTGTTTTTTAAAATCAAGGGATACAACTCTATCTCTTGTGATAATTCTCAGTATTTCTTTATTCCAATTTGAGAAAAGTTCGCTTCTATTTGGGTTTGGAAGTTTAAAAATACTAACTGTATCTTCTCCTTGTTTTTTATACCTACTACTTCCACAGCCATAAACTGCGCAGTTTGCTCCAGGCATGATAAATCTAGATTCAAACAACTGATTTCAGCTCCACTCTAGTATATTAAACACGTTTAATAAACTAAATTGTAACTGAAATAATATTTTTTTTTTACCTCTAGAAGTTTAAACTTATGACAAAAATTTCAGTCTCTAAAAAGTTAAACCAACGATACAACTAGAACAATGAAAAGAATTTATAAATTGTAACAAGCACGATTATTTGACGCAAAGCTAAACTTATTTGAACTTTGTAACAAGAATAGATCTTTCTTGTGACTATGACCTGAACGAGTTTATTTTTATTTCTTTAATGTTTTGCACTTCAAAGGATCTGGGTTCTAGTTTTTTCGGGTACAAAGAGATAATATAATAAGCTTTTGTGCGCTTCCAGACTATCTATTCTTGTGACTATGCTTTAAAGAAGAGGAATGTGTGCGTTTTTTAAAATCAAAACAAATGTCAAAAAGCGTTTTAAATAATAAAAGTGTAACAGAATAATTGCAAAAAAAAAATCAAATAGTATTATTATTAAAAAATTATTATTTTTTTATGAAATTTTATACATATAGCACTTATACATTCACAAAACTTCACTACTCAAAAAACCCATGATTATCAAAATAATATCTTATAATTAAAGATTTCAAAAAAGCAGTTTATTTTTATAATTTGAGATAAAAAAGATAACGGTTGCAACAAACATATGGTGAAACTTGACTATGATGCGATTCTCATGCGATAGATTTTTCAAAACGGTTTTTTAATTTGACAAATAATATCAATGGAATATTATAACTTGGTATGATTTTTTTCACATTAAGTTCCCAATAGTTCTATAATTTAGCTAAAAAAAATATAAAAAAAAATATCTACCTGCTTTTCAGAACTATACCCTAATTAAATTTTATACTCTATATATAAATTATATACATTACTAAAATTTTTTAAGTTTGAGAATATTGCTTATTGGTTATTATAGTTATCCTGTTTATATAAATACCCAGCCAAGTTAGAATACCTTGCCAAGTTAAAATACCATGCTAAACTTTTTCTAAATCTTCATCAAGTACCTAAAGTTTTATGATGATGTTTTATTTGAGTTAAGTAATGAAAATTGTTGTATGTAAAGTAATGAAAAATGTTGATGTACTCCTAATCAGACTTCTCAAAATTTTAGTTAAAAAAAAAATTTAGTTAAAGAGCATTTTCTACAAAGTTTGTAGATTCACATGGAACGTGTAAGCTAGTTCTATAAAAATCAGTTGAGATTTTCTTTTTGCAAAACTTTGTATGTTTAACTCTTTATATTAAACAAGTTGGTATAAAGATGCAGCAACGAGCTTAGAACAACCCCTGCTTCAGCTAAAGAGTTACATTTTAAAGTATTTCACTAGTAGTCTGATACAATTGTATATAAACCTTGTACTGAGTATGTTTCATAGAGAAGGGAGATTACGTTTAACGCGTAACACATTAACAGATCTTTTCACCCCCACATTTTAGCTTTAAGCACACGAAGATCTAGTAATAAAAAGATAACAAAACGTTTTAACATTATAAGTTATTAGAAAATTTGATTACCATATTGCCAAAAATTACCTTATGAAATTACTCTCAAAGTACCACACTTTATTGAAGAACTATTGGTAAAGAGGTAATAAAAAAAAATTGCACTCTTGCAAATTCATGTTGAATGTTTATTTTAAGAGTTTATACATACAAAATACATGTTTGTTAGATATAGCTGTTAAATTAAACAAAATACTGGTTATTGTATTCTATAATTGGTAAAAAAAAATAATTAAAAACTAACCTTTAACAGCAATTGATAGCAAATAATATTATCTCTGGAAAAAAGATAAAAAAGGGTTTAATGCGTATTGGTTTTTGATATAATCAATAAAATAGTGTTTTTTTTTTGAATTTTTATGGATACCTCACATAATTTTTGTAAAACAAATATAACTTTTTACTATTAACTAAATCATCACGACCACAACGAAACTAAAGCCATTTTAGGTTAAACATGTATATATATATATATATATATATATATATATATATATATATATATATATATATATATATATATATATATATATATATATATATATATATATATATATATATATATATATATATATATATATATATATATATATATATATATATATATATATATATATATATATATATATATATATATATATATATATATATATATATATATTTTTAGGACTATTTTGGAAGTATTTGATTTTTAAATTCGCTATAAAGCATAAAACATACCTAAGTAAAAACTATTTTTTTATGCTTGTGTAATGTGTTGGTTTGAACTGAAATATAACTCAAATACAGATAATAGTTTATACTAATGCGTTTTAATTTTTACTCATTTCTTTTGTCTTTACCCATTTCATTTTCTTTTTCAATTAATTTTATATTTATACAGAAAATTTTTAAAGAAAAGTATTTCTATTAAAATAATATGAAAACATTGAACATTATTAACATATAATATCCATGCATTTTAGATTTTTCTAATATATCAAATAAATGTACCAAAATTGTTGATGACAAATATTCAAGAGTATGGACAAAAAATTTTCTTTCGTTTGAAAAACCTATAAGATCAAGAATTGGTCTACCCTTTATTGAAAAACCTTTGGATTCATTTAATAGAATGTTAAAAAAAACTTTTATTATTGGACGTTAGAACTACCTGGCATCAATTGAAAAAAGCAGAAAAGAAAGAATAAAGTTAATTGCTGTTGAAATAAGTAAGTTATAGAACAAACTCAACTTTCCAAGTATTTCTAAAAAATTAGTTGGAAGAAAAATTAAAAAGGTTATGAAAAAACATGACAAGTATCTTAAAAAGCCTGGCAAAAAAGAAGAATGCTCTGTTTTTGGAGATCTTTTTGATATAACCAAATTTAAGGGCATATGGCTTAGTCTGGAAGATAAAAAATTGTATAATATTCAATTATTAAGTTCAGGAGAAATTGGTCACAGTACTAACACACAAGTGTCATTACATCCTTTAAAAGTCAGAGTTTTTAATGCAAAAGATGCAACTTCTACAAGCGAAGCAAATAAAAAAACGTGGTTTAAATTTATATTCAGAAGAAAATTTTGAACCAGTGGAATTAAAAAAATAATGAAAGAGAGTATATAATAAAACCAAGTTTCCATATTGATGGAAAGAAAATAAACAAGACTGAATACCAAGTTGTGATACTTCAAAATGAAAAAAGGAAAACTAACTTAGGAGTTGTTAAATGTAAAAGTGGAAAATCAAATGATATTTTTGAAGCTATTAAAAAAATTGCTAAATGATTTTAATGCATATCAATGATTACATGTGACACAACAGAAGTAAACACAGGAAAAATAAATGGTATAGTTGTAAAAATACAAAATGAAATGGAAACCAGAGGCTTTACTAAACTACAATATTTAGGATTTCAGTATCATATACTGGATCTCCTTTTTAAAACACGTTTTGAATCATTTTCTAAATTGTTAATGAACAAGTCCTGGTTTTGATTATAAATTTGTAAAGGACTTAAACGAAAATTATAAAAATCTTCAAAAAAATTATAAATATGAATCTGAGCCTTATAATTATATAAACTTGGGATAGCTAGATGACTTAAATATCCTTTACGAGTTATGTGAATCTTTTAGTTACTTCAAGAATCATAAAAAAATTATCAAAAAAGTGGAACAAGCTTCCTCCATTGAACAGTGCAAGATGGAAATCTAGAGCATCATATGTTCTTCTTGCCTATTTATACCATATATTTATACCATATATTTATAATTAAACCAGCATGGAGGTGTGAACTTGAAAGTACAGAAACTTTCAGTGCAAATCAATGGAAAAAACTTTGTTTCAGCAAACAATTCTTTTATGATAAATCATATGACTAAATGCTTAATGCATTGACTGAAATTAGGCGTACAGCTGCTTTAAAGTGCTTTATGAAACACTGGAGAAAAGAAAAGAGTGTAGTTCGTATTCTAAGAGCAAACATTATTGCTGAACGAGGCGTTAAATTGATGAAAGATCTCCTTGAAAATTCAAAAATATGGGAATATGCAAATGTGAAACTTATTAGAGAATGACCTGTGAAGCGTTAAAACTAACTTGCTGAAAATAATTACTTTTATTGATCCACTTCAATGATATCTAGTTTATAAATACTAAATATAATTTACAATTAGTTTTATTTATTTTTGTGGCTGTTCAGAAATGGGTTAGAAATAAGCTTTATAAGTCCTCATGTAATCTATGAAAAATCACGTTATTATCAAAGAAGGATAGAGGAAAGGGGGGGGGGGATAATTTTACCATTAAACCAATTTTTATATCAGTTACTCAACACTTCTTAGGTTATAGAAGTATGGCCACAACAGATTCAAAAATTCCATAACCCTAATATATATATACATATATATATATATATATATATATATATATATATATATATATATATATATATATATATATATATATATATATACATATATATATATATACATATATATATATATACATATATATATATATATATATATATATATATATATATATATATATATATATATATATATATATATATATATATATATATATATATATATATATATATATATATATATATATATATATATATATATATATATATATAGATATTCTCCATCAGTAGGATCATCAGGAAGCTTACTGATGATCCTACTAATGGAGAAACAAGCTGTAGACGAAAATAAAAATTAGATAAATGTTTTTACTGTTGATATATATATATATATATATATATATATATATATATATATATATATACATATATATATATATATATATATATATATATATATATATATATATATATTTATATATATATATATATATATATATATATATATATATATATATATATATATATATATATATATATATATATATATATATAAATTTTTATGTCTAGTAGTATTATTTCTAAAATCTCTTAGTTTATTGATAAAAGAAACTAAACTAGTCGTAAATTGTTACTTTAAATTAGACAATTACAAATACTTTAGAATAAGTAATATAAAATGCATTTTAAAACAAAACATCCAAAATTTGTAGTTTTACTTTACCTGAAGCGTAGTTTTATAATTAAAATGTTACCTGGTGCATGGTTTTCATTAATTGACATTACAGGATTCTTACAGTTTTCTTTTAAAACTTTTCTTACAGTTCGAAATAATTTCCATGACGAAGCCGCGCTATTTTCAAAATATAATTTTATTGGAATCTCAATAATGTATGAGTCATTGAAGAAACACTTATTATTATTAATTTTAGCTGTAATTCTTTGATGGACTCCATTATTTAGTAGCTTTGGAACCTAAAGTAAAACTGAATATATTTGTAAAGTAAAACATAAAAAAGAAAAGGGTAAAATCTCACAACACGTTTTGTTATATTAATAAATTATATGAAAAATCTTATTAAAAAAATGATTAATTTGATTTTAAAAGTTTTTACATTTAAAAATTTTATTTTTCTCAATTTCTGTGTCAAAATTAAATAAAATTATTTATCTAAAATTATCTTAATTTTTGTTTTTTAACTTTTTTTAGTAGCAATTTTATTACCCAATTCAACTGAAACCATATTTAGGCAACACTTGCAGTAGAGACGAAAAAGGGAGTTAGTTTATATAAGCCGAAAATATGACAATAAAAATAATATAATGGAAACGCGATGTTTAAACTCTTTCGGCTAGAACACATACCTTCGACCTTTTCTTTTCAACTAGAACACATGCCTTCATCTTAACAGCTTCATTACTAGCCAAATAGATGATAAAACCAAAAACTCCAATGATTTATTTTTAATTTTTTTTGTTTAGTTATTTATCTAAAATCCAATGATTTATTTTTAATTTTGTTTTTTTGTTATTACACTTGAACTTAGCCATTAGACCAAGTAGAAATAGAAGTAACGGTTTTTTGATTGATTACTATTATATTATTTGTACACTCATGAAGCATTCTTATGTTTAACAATAGTTATGTTTAACAATAGCTGTGTGTAACAATAGTTGTGTGTAACAAAAACTTTGATACTAATATGTCATTATTCTCACAAATTATTTTTAGTTATTTAAAGTGATTCAAAAATTATAACTTTTAGTTATTTAAATCATTCTAGATTATTATTTGTTATTGTTTAAAGTCAAGTTTTAAAATTAGTTAAAAAAGCCATTTTTAGTAAAATTTTATCAAAATGCAAAATATTAGACTGATCTTTTTGTTACCTTAATCCCTAACGATATATAGTTTCAAACTTTTTAAGATCTAAAAAAAAAAAAAGAAATTTCTAAAATGCTTAAAAATAAATCATACAGTATATTTCAGGTTGCTTGCAATTAATCTTTCAACTTCCAGTGGTGTATTCTCTGATTGCAGTGTTAAAAAAGGTGATAAAAAGGTGATAAAAAATTCCCAAACTACATTAAAAGCTAGTTCTTGCGAACTATTGTAGCTTACTTGAAAACTAATATTCAATAAATTTCCAAAAATTAAAAACAATTCATAATATAAACATTAAAGCTATTTTATTCCATGTTTATTATAAATTATAAACTAAAACGTTCAAAAACTTGTTATTCGAGAAAGTTTTTTTATATTTTAAAATTGCGATAAACGATATGAAATCGAGAAATATTTATACGGAAAATCACTACGGCAAAATAGGCAGTTAGTTAAATTTTTAATATAACGCTTTTCTCAAAAACTGTACATATCTTGCAATATCGATCTAAGTTATTGTCAATAAATAGAAAATATATATAAAAAAAGTAAAAATTTTAGAGGTTTGGATAAGATTCTTTTTATTATTGTTGATACATTAATAAAATAAATAAATAAGGTTTAACGTTGTCCGAAGTGTGCAAAATAAACATTACAAGGTGGATTTAATACCGAAAAATCTTCATAGAATGTCTTTTATTTCTAGATTTTTGTGTTCAGTTTAAAAGGTTAATCTGGAATTTATAATTAAGTAATGTAAATTAGGGTGGGTTTTACTTATAAAATTTTGGATATGACAGCGCTTGCAATATTTTTATTTATTTATTAGAATATTAAAAGAGACGTAAATAGTTTCTTTTAAAAAAAACAGCAACTTTGAGAATACTTACTCAAATATTTGCCAAATGAATTGGAGGTCTAACTGAGGTTTGCAATAAAAGTTGCTTTCTAAAAACAAAAAATATATAACTCGTGTTAAAATGTAACAGTTTCATACAATTTATTTGGCCTATCAAGGACATAGTAAGGTTTAACAACTTGATTATATTTTTCTCAAGTTTTTGTTTTTTTTATTAAAACGTTCAGGTTTCTGAGGGTTTGCTGAGTTAAATAAATTTTTCATTAATGATCAAAATGTGATTTCGGAAAAAAAAAGCAACAAAAATATTTAATCATTAGGAAAAGCGTCTTTAAAAATGTATGAGTTGCTAAGATCAAAACACTACTTAGATAATAGTATTTTTATTAAAATAGCAGAGATAAAATATGTAAAAACAAATTTACAAATACCTTATATATATATATATATATATATATATATATATATATATATATATATATATATATATATATATATATATATATATATATATATATATATATATATATATATATATATATATATATATATATATATATATATATATATATATATATATATATATGTATATATATATATATATATATATATATATATATATATATATATATATATATATATATATATATATATATATATATATATATATATATATATATATATATATATATATATATATATATATATATATATATATCGATTGATGTTAAATTTGTATTACAATAGTAATACAAAACTCTATTTCGGTTAAGAGTGCTCAATAATAAAGAAAGTAAACAACTTTCTAACTAGAGCGGTATATATATATATATATATTTATTTTTATTTACATATAGAAAAAACAACTTTTCGCGGGACTAATAGTTTCATGCCAATACGGCAATCAACAGCCATGTACTTTATCAAAAACAAACAAACCGTTAATAAAATTACAAAATACAGTGGAGCGACATCTGACGTCTCTATAGACACAAAAAAAGAAAACGTCAAAGAAAATCTTATATAAATCGCCAGTATCATAAACGAAAGAAGGAATTTATTTTTATGCCTGCAATTTGAAACCAACTCGTTCTTTTTGTTCAACAGGTTTCCCTCTGCATGGGTTAAAATAAAATACTTTTCATTAAGACAAAGATTGCAAATTTTGGACGAAGGATTATATGTTTGGGAGCGCTTGATAATTTTCCATTTAGTAACAAACGAAAAGTTTTCTTCTTTAAGTTTCCAAATTTCTTTAGATAACTCCGTATCATTGCTGTACTTAATTAAATTAAAAGATTTTAAATGGTTTGCATATCTTAACTTAAAAGGGGTCTCGCTAATACCAATATAAACTTTATCTGTGTAATCTGGTTTATTGGATGAAACAGTAGCTTGATACACAATGTTCTTACTTAGACACTGGTTGCTCATAACGCAGGTAGATTTATTGATGCAGTTGCAAGTTTTTGTTGTTGTTTTTTCATGATTGTATAAAATATTTTGATTATGCGAATTAATGACTGATTTAACGTTCGGCATACACGAGTAGCTAATTTTAATGGTGTTTCTGTTAAAAATCTTGTGTAATAAATGACCAACAGGAAAGCTTGTATCAATTATTTTTAAAAAAAGATTACCAATTTTTGTTGCAACATTTTTACTATACGGGGGATTATACCAAATAATGTTTCGTTTGTGATTTTTGTTTTTAGTGGGAATTATATCTGACTGATATTTGAGCTTGGATGAGAAACCCGATTTTATTAATGCATCCTGATAAGGAGAAACAGCTTTTTCAAAATTTTTTTTGTTTGAAGATGCAGTAGACAATCTTAGTTCAATTGTTCGCGGTAGACTTTTTAATATGCACGGAGGGTGGTTAGAGTCGGCGTGACTATAATTAAGAGTGTTATCGGGCTTTGAGTAAGGTTGGAAGGTACTGTTGTTAAGATTTAGTGTTAAGTCGAGGTAATTGATAATTTTAATATTACAACTAATAGATAAATGGAGACCATTGCTTTTAAAAATTTTAACAATTTTAACATATATATATATCATTTTATATATATATATATATATATATATATATATATATATATATATATATATATATATATATATATATATATATATATATATATATATATATATATATATATATATATATATATATATACGTATATGTATAAAAAAAAATATATACAAAAATAAAAATAATATGCAAAAAGGATTTGGTCGATCAAAGCTAAAACTTTGCTAAATAAGTTTGCTCCATAAGTGCGGTGCATAATAGGCATGACAAAATGGACTAAGATTTGTTTGTCAAAAAGATTCGGTAAAATTTAAAAAAAAAAGTTTATTTGTAGCTGGGTTTTATACTAAATAATATCTTTAAAGACCGAGGGAAGGGTTTAGATTTTTTTCCGCATATAAACAAAGCATAAAATTTTCAAAACGTTGAGTTTAAATATATTTAAAAATTTCATGTAAGTAAAATAAGGTTTACAGTGACAAAAACAATCAGCAAAGTTAACTATGCAAATTTTTTGTTTTTAATTAATTACATTGTCTTTATTTAGAAGTACTGAATGAAGACAATGTAATTTTCTTTTTTCAGTCCTTCCCCAGGCAATATTAGCATAGTTTAAGTAGCAGTGAATAAATGAGAAATGAAGTTGTCTTAAATTTTTTAAATTAAGATAAGTTTGAGCTTTGTATTAAACTCTCATATTTTTAGAGAATTAAGTGCATACATAATATTATGCTAAATCCAAGTAATGTCATCGAGATAACCACCTAAGAGTTTAATAATTTTTTTATTCTTAAGCAAGTGAAAAAGCGTCAATTTAGTTTTGTGAGTATTTAATGTTAATTTATTGGATTTGGACCAGTAAGATAAAGGTTTAAGTTATTTATTTACGTAAGCAATTATTTTGCTAATATCACTCTTAGAGATGAATAAATTAGTGACATCAGCGACCATGATGCTTTTCAGATTAGTAATTTTATTTAGCTTGTTTGTATAGATTAAATCAAGTAGGGGTCCGAGGATTAAACTTTGCGGAACTCTACAGGTTAATCCTAAACAATTTTTATGATAGTTGTTATTACCAACAACAAGTTTTTTTTGGTTTGTCAAGTATTTACTAAATTTTGATAGAGATATCCGAGAAAAAAGCCGGTAAATATTACTAGGAAACTGTTTAACTTTCTAATACTCCT